ATAGATTGTTTTGTTTTGTATAAATCTGTTACACTCACTGTTTGGTAAGATATAATGTGTCAGGAAACAAAGATGGGTGCACATCAACTCATTTTTCGTTTATCAATACCTAGCAGACAATTTTATTTTCAGTTGTTTCAGCGAGAGGATCCCATTACTTACTGCCGTGTGGGGGAAATTACAGTTCAATTTAAAGTTCAATCATTCATTTTATTATGAAAATAATATTTTGCGTTGAGGCAAAGAAGAAAATCTGAGTCAGCAAAAATCGGTATCAGCAGTTTATAACTCCAAGAAAAAAAAATCACTTAAGAAAACTGAAATCACTTTCTCTTTTGTTATATTTTATTGGCTTGAAATCTATCACAGGTTCTCCAGTAGTCATTTGAGAGTTGCTCCAAAATCAAGTCAGTCTCTGTAGACTACCATCATAAAATGAAAAAAGACAAAAACAGTGTGATAACAGGCTGCTAGGGAATCGGTTTTAGGTGGCTGATTTCCACCGTCATAACAACTGTAGTGTGGTCGTTTTGACTAATAAGTGTCCCAACTAGAGCAGTGTGATATGACCAAAAATATTTATCATGATATACATTTGAAAATTTGCGATAACGATATAACTGACGATATAATTGACACTAGACAAAATACTTTACAACTCCACAACTTTATTAGTGCAAAAAACCCCATCAATGTATTTTCACTTAAACAAGCAGCTGTTTTTTTATGTGCATTAAAGTCATATAAAAATTTAACAGTGCAAATGCAAATTCCTTGCTGACAGTTTAACCAAAAGGCATTTCCAGTGGAAATTGGCCGACATATCCTCAGCATAACCATGTATAATATCCACAAAACTTAAAAAGAGGTTATACACACACAATACGGTAATATTATGTTGAAGCACAGTACGTATCACTCCGCGAGGCTCCTGCCTACGATAGCCGTAATGCTCCGACAATCCATCAAGCGGTGCGGTTCGTAGCTTAGCAAAGTCGTACTAAAACATTTGACAGATTTTCGAGCGCCGTGTACCACATAAAATCGTTTCGAGGTCAGTAAACACAACCAGAATTCATACATAAGGCACACGGGATTATAAGGGGCGCTGTCGATTTTCAGAAAAATCAAAGGATTGATTTTAAGTGTGCCGTATTTTCCAAACAACACGGTAATAACGACGGCCTAGCATGCGCTACCAAAAATAGTGCTTTGTTGTGTATCTGACGGATGAAAGCTAAACCAGTTCCACACCACTGAAGTTGCAGCATTTTTACAAACCAATTCTGGTTCATCCGTTTCATTTAACGATCCACTTTCGCTCTTCTCATTCTGCGTCGCCGCCATGTGCGTATGTAAACAAAGGCACTGCGCATGCGCGTTTTACCCATATTCTATCGCGATATTTCATTTTCCTATCGTTGCCCAAAATTACACCGGTATTACCGTGAACGGTATGATATAGCCCAGCCCTAGTCCTGACACATGCAACGTTCTTCCCTTCTCTAGATAAAGTTGCTGAACTGTACCTCACAACCATGTTTGTGCTATTGCTACCTTTTGGAGCATTAATAATGGACTTAGGTACCACATTTTATGTCTTGCTGTGTATACATATAATGTAGGACAAGCACATTCTAGCCTTTGTATTATTCTTCTACTTGGGACTAGAAGAATGAAGTATGCCTGTGCATTTCACCTGTTCAGTTTGTGGGTACAACTTGCTAAATGAGTTAGCACTTCGTTCTGATGTTTAAATATTGTAATTTCTGGCTCTCAAGAATATTGAGGAAACCAAAAGGTTAACTTTACAGCCTTTCACAAAAAAATGGTTAATGTCATTGTACAGAGTTATATCTTGTAATGTCCATAATGTCTTCTTTTACCCTTTGCCTCAACTCTGTAAGCAAATCAGTGTTATACTTTATACCACTGTAACACAGTGTAGTATACTATTTTGCATGATTACCACAGTGACAGATTTGATTGATGGCAAGCGGCATACACACAATATGTATATCATTCAAGAGTGAGACGTTCAGTAGAAGCCCGAAGCTACAAAACTTGCCGCCTGGCTTTGCGTGCCCAATACTGGAATGACTACAGATCTGGTCTAATAACCTGATGCATTATTTAGAGCTCTCTCAATTCTACTGTGCATTTAGTGTAATGGCCTGTCAAGCCTGAATGCAATCACAGAAGGCTGACTTCAGTGATCATTTGATGATATAGTGAAGCAAATGGGCATTTTGGTTCACAGTGAGTAATGAGTGTGAATGTGTACTGGGAGTAGTTTTCCTGTGTTCAGTAGAACTTGTTTTATGTTTTGTGTGTGTGTGTGTGTTTTCGTTTTTTCTGTAAAGGTCTTTTCTCGTTTATACCGGTCATAATTGCGTAATATTACATGACAGCACTCACAGCTTTGTGGTTCTTATACTAGACCCGTGAAAAGGATTATTATAAATTTTAATCAGCCATAGCATTGCTTTTTTCTGCTGAATCATGGAGTATTCTTGGTTTTTGATAATGTATCACGTTTCCAAATACCAGCAGGACTTCTAAAGGCTTTTATTTTTTTTTTATGACTGTATGTGAGAAAGATCAGCACCACGAGACCCCCCCAGGGACATTGCATTGCCTGGATGTGATTTCTTTGTTTAGGAGTTAGTCCTTCCATCTACTGGCACTGCAAAACTACCAGAGGATATAACTTTTATAACACATACCTATGAGAATTTTAGGGGCAAAGATTGCAACAACATAAGGTTAACCCAGGTGGTATACGCATCTGTGGGTTTGTTTGGTTTGCTTTGGAAACAGCCTCTTCAAATGTGTTTTGGGTCATTCTGGTGTTTGCAAACAAAATCCGGAATCCTGGCCAGCAAGGGTAATGCTCATTATTTTGGATACATGGAGCCCCAGTGCTTGAAATGTAAAACCTATGTTCATTTATATTTTCATCATCTGGATATCAAGCATAGCCATGTAATAAATAACCTGGGGGCACTGTCACATAGACATGAATTTTGTTAATGTTTGGTCATATGATTGATGATTAGCGCAGCTTTATAGGCCAACAGTCTCTGAAGGACCTTTGAGACAACTTGTGTACTTTGCACTCAGAAAGAAAGGGATGTGAGAAAGGAGAGGTGGGAAAAGAAACACAAGCTATGCACTGAGACGACAGAGAACAACAAGAGTTTAGGCACACCCTGCCTAGTCTGTCACTATAGACTAGTTGGAATAACAAAACAGGGTCGCCACAGTATTCGTAGAAGCTTTTTCACAGCCAGTATTGTGTGATGGTAAATACTCTCCAGCTTTCACACAAAACTACTCCATTTTAGTCTAGGTATAACTATTTTCTTATGTAGGATGCGAAACATTGCTCAGTTTTCTTTATATCACCTCACTGGGGCTCACTGTTTCAGAAGCGAGGCTGAAAAGTCTGAAAAGTTGTCTGTTGTCTGCCTGTGGTCTGTTGTTTATCAGACGTTTGTGTGACCGTCTGCTGAATTGGCTAAACAAATATTTGTTGACAAGTCTTACTGTACCATAGCACATATTCCTGGTTAAGGCATGTGGTCTCTGTTGAAGCTACTGTAGACACTTGATGCGTGCAAAGAACAAGGGCAATGACTAGACCCTCTGTTTTATTCTGCTTTTGACCTTTTGTTGTAATGAAGACTAAACGTCCTTAATGAAATTGGACCAGGAGTTAGACCTTCATTTAACAAAACACCATTAATATTCACAGTTGAGCTAACAGAAAAGCAACAAAAGTCGCTGAGACTTTTGGGCTGAATATTGTTTCTTAATTACCTGTGAATGATGAAGAACTCCGTCAAACTTTTTTATTATTCAGGTATGTCAGTGGCTGTTTTTCTTTTCTTTAGGTTTTTTTTTTGTTTGTTTGTTTTTTTAAGGAAGAGGGTTACTGGTTTACTTACCCTCCCTTTCCTTCACATACTTTAATCATTTTATCTCACTTTAACTGTAGAGTGCAAGAAAAAAAAGAAATAAGAAAGAAGCTTTGTGAAAAAGACAGTCATCGGTTGTTCATGAGGATTCTAGCCTTGTGGTGACATGTAGTTTTTTCTTCTCCTCAGACTCAAATTACAGAGATTCAGCATTTTGAAGTTTAACAAGTTTTTTTTGTTGGTTTTTTATATTCAATTCATGTCTTCATTTTTTCTCCTTGGACAAAAAAAATAGAATTAATTTTCCCTGCAGAGAGTAGAATGAGGTGTTGCAGTCCTAAAAAAAAGGACCAAAGATTAAATTTAAAAAAACTAAGTGTTTCACTTTTTACAATCAAATAATTGTGAGACGATTAAAAATCTGACAGTGGAACTTTATTTTTATTATCTGTGTTCTCAAATATGTAGTGTTGTGCGTCAGTGTAAAAAATTAAATTAGATTATTAAGTAATATAAACTGTAATCAAAGTTTATCTATGTAGGATGCACATAAATGATGAAGCCATGCAGAAATTACAAGTTGAAAGCAATGCAAGAATTAAAGAATAAAAGTGCACAAAATGTAAAAGCAGATTCTGTATCTGAAATTCAACAGTCCCTTTAAACTGCTACATCTTTAGCTGACTTTTGAAGAAATTCACTCATTGGGCAGATCTTACAGATCCAGGTAGAGAATTCAACAGATCAGGTGCCTCAGCCTGAATAGCTGCACCACCCCGGGTCCTTAGCTGGTTGTTGGGCAAGCGTGTCGATTTTTCTTTTCTTTCTTTTCTTTTTTTTCTTGTGTGTGTGTGTGTGTGTGTGTGTGTGTGTGTGTGTGTGTGTGTGTGTGTGTGTGTGTGTGTGTGT